TGTATGTGGGTGTGGACGAGCCATGGCTGGACTGAAACATCCAACAGCAAGAACCAGATTGGGTTGAAGGCCAGTCAGGAAAAGCCACTGTTCCTGCAGGGACAGGAGGTGAACTGAGTAGGGATGGCTCACGTACCCACTGTTATGCGTGAAATCTGGCATTGGGAGAGGTTCTGATGGAGGAGCCTGGGCAACTCCTCTGGCAGGACACAGACTTGGCAGGTAAGCGCAAGAAGCATGGATTGGGAACAACCCAGAACAGTCCATAGAAAGTTTCCCACTGGCATACAATTGGCATGGATCAGGGGCAAACCAGGCTGAATTAGTTCACATCATCCATTGGCAAATCAGAGCAAAAAAAAGAGTGTGGGTTGAGCCAGGTTCACTCGCAACAAAAATCAGTGCACATTATGGAATGCCAAGGTGAGGTGATCTGTACCAGATCTGTACCGCAGCACCCAATAGCACACGTGAGAACCAGGAGGGAGGGGACGGGGCCTGCAGGGGGAATATGGGAGTGCTCCCTTGCTGGACGGCTACTCCCTCAGGAGAGCATGAGCTGGGATGGGTGCACACCAGACTAGCAGTGCTACAACACCTGTGTGCCTCATGTGGACTAGGTCAGGGAAAAGCCAGGCTGGGCTGATTGTTCCTACTGGTGCAAATAAAAATTAGAGTGGGTGAGGGTTGTTTGGGCGTAGCCGCAGCATCAGCTGGCAGAGCTGGCACTGGGGACTAATTCTGTCAATTCAAACCACAGAACTACCTGGAGAGTGCATAATCTGGGATTGGGAGTGGCCTAGAAGGGAAACAGTGGGCTCCTCCCTCTTGGGTTATCACTCTCACGGGAGGGCATGAAAACCAGGGTCTGGGGTGGCTAGACAGAAAGGCACTCAACATCTGTGTGGGCTGGATAGTGAAACTGGTTAGATGGAACTAGGCTTCAATGCCCACTGACATGTATGAGAGCTGAAGGGAATGTGGGACAGACTGGACTAGCCTGCTGCACATACTGGCAAACCAGGGTAGGGGGTGGGCCTGGTGGGGGTTATTGTGGATTGTTCCAACTAGGCTGCAGCTACCACTGGTTTATGTGAGGGCCAAGTGTGTGCTGGGCAGAACCAGGCTGGACTACAGCATCCATCAGTTCCAGTGGAGGACAGGGCTGGAAACAGAACCAACTCAGCAACTGCAACCACCAGCTGATTGACGCAATGGACTGTGCCGAGCCCTGTACTTGCCAGTACATACAAGAATCTGGTCTGGGAACACCTCAGACAAAGTTTCTTTGGGGATCTCCCCAATCAAACTGCTGGACTCAGAACCCTAACCATGAAGACAGAGGACAGAACAAGTCAATTGACCTTCTCAGCCATATGTCAGCATTGAAAAACTGAGCAAATGGAGACTCTAAGATGGACTATGTCAATCCGTGGATTCTTTAACGACCTCATCGTGCTTGGAATGGCAAGACTGGCAGCAATTCAGAACTGGTGAACTATCAAAACCACTTGATCAAGACCCTAGGAGCGTACCCCACATTAAGGACTTGGGGTGGGTGGGAGACTGGGTGGGGCTTCTCCCTTAAAATCCCCCTTTACCTCAGATACATGAAAGAAACAATGTGGAAATAATAGTCTTGCCCACTTTCCTGTAGCCCTTGAATGTTTTTCCCCTAATTAACTATGTAAAGATTGTCAAAAATATAACAAAAAAAGGGAGTCCCAGAAGGTGCAGCAAGAGAAGATGGGTTTACAAATGCATTTAATGAAATAATCAAGAAAAATTTCCAGATTCAGAGAAAAAATTGAGGAACAACATCCAGGAGGGGCACTGAACTCCCAACAGGGTTGATCAAAAGCAATCTTCACCAAGACACAAATCAAGCTCTCGTCAATCGAACATAAGAAAAAGACACTTAAATGTGCTCATGAAAAAAACCAATTGAAATATGGAGAAACAGAATAGGTCACAGCTGACCTCTCACTGAAAACTACAGGCCAGAAAAGAATGAAGCAATGTATTCCAGATTCTAAAAGCAAAAAATTGTCAGCCCAACACAACATATCCAGCAAAGCTTTCCTTTTTCTTTGAAAATGAAATATAATTCTTCCATAGTAAAGAAAAGTTAAAAGAAAACACCTCTTCCAGACCTGCCCTACAAATGATACTTAAAGATGTTCTCTTGACAGAGAAGAGGAATAACACCCACTAAAACCAAAGGCAAATGTGAAGAACATCCCAGTAAAATGACAACAGAAGACTAAATCAATGAACAAACCATTACTAAATGACAGAAACAAATTACCACCTATTTATATTAACCCCAAATGTAAATGGATTAAATTCAATCATGCATAGATTAATAGGATGGATTAAAAAAAAAATTTGTTGCCTACAAGAGACATATCTCACCAACAAAGATCAGCGGAAACTACATCTCATAGATCTTGATAATTTTGTTTTTATTTTCATCTGTTCAAAATACTTTCTTATGATTATTCAATGACTCATAGATCATACAGTAGCCATATTCTCTTCAAGAAGGTTCTGGATTCTCTTTTTCATTTCTTCAGCAATACATTAGTCATTAAGAAGCATGTTATTTAACTTAATGGCACTGCAAATTTCTTTTTCTTCCTGTTGTTCATTTTGTTTTTGCGGCTTTTCTTTTAAGGGGATGTGTAGTTAGTGTAATGGAGACTATCATACCCTGTGGCATGTTGTTTAACTTCATGGCCTTATAAATTTGTTTTTCTTCTTGTTGTTGATTTTGCTTTGTGGCTTTTCACTTGGGGGGATTATAGTGACTGTTTAATGGAGACTGACATGTCTAGATGTGAGGATATGGTGCAGTGTGCATCTGTACCTCCAGATGGAAGATGGACTCCAGTGAAACTGTTGGATGTGTCATGACAACAGGATGCTGGACTCTCTGACATTGTCCATGCTTGCAATGATGGACTTTGAGGAACTATACAGTTGTAATGATATGGGGAAACTGGGAGTTCAGATAAGTCTGAGCAGCAGTGCAGCACGGGTGTCTGGGTCACCCAACCACGAGGCTGCAGCTGGGGGTACCCGTGCCAGGCCAGGCTTCCTGCTGGGGAACTTAACTCCTCATGCAATGCTGCTAGTCGGGGTGAGAGCCTTGGGCTTGTCCAAGCCTGAGGTGCAAGAATTTCCTTCATCCACAGCGACCATGCTGTGGATGGATCTCAGACAGCTCTAGGCATGCTCAGGACCATGGCTCCGCCCAGAGCTGCCATGTTGGTGAGTAGAGTACAGATAAGTCTGAACAGTGGTGTGGCACAAGTGGCACCTACCGGCACATGCGTGGGCTGAACAGTGAAGCTGGCTGGGTTGAACTAGGTTTCAATGCCCACTGACATGTATGAGAGCTGAATGCGATGTGGTACAGACAGGAAAAGTCTACTGCACATATTGACAAGCATGAGAACCAGGGTAGGAGGCAGGACTGGTGGGAGTTACAGTGGGTCTCTCTGGTTTGTGTGGGGGCCAAGTGTGTGGTGGGCAGGATCGAACTGGACTGCAATACCCATTAGTTTGTGTAAAAGACAGGGCGGGAGACAACTGACCTAGCAATTGCAACTAACAGTGTGCATGTAGGCCGATTTGGGCAATGGACTGTTCCAGACCCTGTACTGGCATGCACACATAAGAATCAAGTCAGGGATCACCTAACAGGGCATTTCTTTGGGAATCCCCCAAAGTGAACCGCTAAACTCAGAACTCGAAACATGGAGGAAAAAGGCAGGTTCCATGGTCTGACTGTGGAGTGCATGGAAGATATAGAAGCACATGGAGGATACAGCAATTCACTGGAGCCTACAAGGGACACCTGAAACCATAACAGAGGACAGAGGACAGAACAAATCTATCAACTACCCCAGCCAAGTGTTGGCAGTGAATACCTGGGCAAACAGAAATGCTAAGGTGGACTATGTCAGCCAGTGGAGTCTAGAGAAATTTCATCGTGATTGGAGTGGCAAGATCGGCAGCAATACAGAAGTGTTGAACTATCAAAACCACTTGAGCAGGACCCTCAGAGCATACCAACATCAAGGACCCTGAGATGGTTGGGAGGCTGGGTGTGGTTTCTCCCCTTATCTCTCCATTCCCCCTCAGACACAGGAATGAAGAAAGAAAATATCAAAGCAACGGTCACACCCACTTTCCTCTAGCCCTTGATCCTTTGCATCCTAATCAAATATGTAAAAAGTATCAAAAAATAAATTTATACAATTCAAAAACAAAGAAAGAAAAACAAAACATTGCTGGAGAAAAAAAAACAGTATGGGAGAACTCAGTGGTGGAAAGGTTTATGGAGAGGGTAGGGGAAATCCCAAGGCCTATGAAACTGTATCATAAAATGATAATAATAATTAAAAAAAATACAAACACATAATACCAAGGCAAAAACTACCATAAAAAGCACCAGAACTGGAGAGACAGTGTTGGTTTAACTGCAGCTCAGTTACTAGGTATCCTTGAGCATATTATTTAACTTCTTTAAGCTCCTCTTTTCATATTCATAAGACACTTAAGTCTACCTCTTATAGGTTTTTGTGAGAATCCAAGCTATTTCCCAAAGAACTGAACATGGTGCCCGGCACTTCATAAGTGGCATAAATTATTAAGATTATTATTGAAACAATCTAAGAATTAGAGGGATTATCATTTTTATTTTAACCAAAGTGATATTTGCATTATTATCAGACATTAAAATTATCGGTTTGATAAGGCATACTACAAATCAAATATCTATTTAGTACTCATAAATCCAGAACTATGATACAGCCAAAGATAATACAACCCTTAATCTCAAGAATTTTGTAAGAAATTAAAGTCATATAATCTTATACAAAATATAAATATCTTAACAGATATATGGAAAAAGTAGGTAAACCTGGAAATAATAAAAAGCTACACAATGAAATCCCAACAACTTTTTAATAGTTTAAAAATTAAGCACTTACCTTCATATTTAAAATGATAACATTTTCCAAGCAATAATACAGGGGAATTTCTACTAAAGTATGTCTTTGTTTTCAACACCCAACCTAAACAACAACAAAAAGAAATTACTTCAATTAAAAGATTTCAGACAAAATTCTAGCATGACTTTCTCTTACTTATTTTCAAATCACTAATTATTAGTCCTGGAGATGTATTATTTACAACAATTATAAAATATTTGGGCAGTGAACTGAAAATATGAGCCATTTAAGCTAACTTGCAAAAATATTTTGCAGTATTGTAACTACACTCTACCCACTTAAAAACCATGAGAACAAGTTTTAATTTACTTCCACATCAGTCCTAACATTATCATACTACAAAATCCTAAAGTTAAACTTTAACTCCAGTTTCTCTAACATGAAACTCTCCCCAAAAATAACAAACAGTACCAATATTACAAAAGTAAGACTTGAGACAGTTGAGTCATTTAAGGAAAAAAAGAATCACACAGTAGACTAGCATTCTAGATAAAAGTGGATCTCTGCAGCTTCCTAGGGAAATACACATTTCATCACTGTGGCAAAACGAGGATGTCTGCAACTGCTATATAAGCTGTCATACATCCTTAACACAGTTTTCTACAATTCAATGTTCTTTCTCTCTATCTTCAAAAGCAGAGTTGGGGCCCAAGCACACAGGCCATCCTTCACTGCCCTCTCAGGCCAAAAGCAGGAAGCTGGGTCACAAGTAGAGCAGCCAAGATTCCAATGGGCACACAGATGGAATACTGGCACTGTAAGCAGAGGATTAGCCATGGTATGGCCGCCTCTACAACCCAATTCATACCCCAACTTCTGTTGCAAACTCTTTAATGCTTTTGATTTTTCTTCCTGTCAAACCGTCAGAATCTAAAGTGTAGTGACCTTTGTGACTTTTCATGATGCCATTACACATTAGAATTTCCTGAGAAAAGCATGTGCCCACCACATTTCTCAATATTCCAAGAATATAAAATTTCTGAATACCAGCAGTAAATGCAGCTTAAAGCAAGAGCATAGTAACAGAATCTTGAAATGTGCATTCAACAGACCTGGGTGTGAACTTCAGTAGACTATCTGCACCTTATATTTAACAAAATATTTAACAGAATCACTACAACATTTTAAAGGAGTTTTTTTTTTTAATGAAAAATACTCCTTAAGTATTGTGTAAATAAATTTTATTTTATAATATGTTACTATCAGGTGATAGAAAAAGTCTGATTTTGATGTTGAGTGAAAATGGGAAGGCATCATTAAGCTCCATATGGATTATTATAATACTCTCCTAAATAGCTTCTCTGCAGGCAGTCCTTTAAGCAAATGCTACAAATGGCTGCCAAAACAATCTCAAGTTCGATGACTTACTTCTGCTCCCAATCTTCAGTCACTCATCACTTAACAGAGTTACAGTAAACTTTCAGTCATCCTTAAGATTTGTCACAATGTGACACAAATGATCAGCATAGCCCACCATGTTTCATCTATACTGACATGAAGCCTTGCTGCTCGGCTCATGCTCTCCCAACATGTTCTCCTACAGCAGACACCTGGCATGGCTATGTCTGCACACAGGAATGCCTGGGCTCAAGTCCCAGTTCTGCTCCAGGTTTCAGGCGGCATGAGATGGCTCAAGTGGTTGGGTTCCTGCCACCCACGTGGGAGATCTAAACTCTCTTCCTGCTTTGGCCCTCAACATAGACAGGCATTTGGGGAGTGAACCAGTGCATGGGAGCACTCAAGTTCGTTATTGCTCACTCTCTCATCATGTGTGTTAGCTCTCAACAACAGTATCATGTCCTTCTGAAATAATTCTTATCTTCAAAATGTAATTCCAAAGCAAATCTTCAGAACACTAAGAAAATTTAAAGGAACAGCAACTGCCTTTCTCTCTGTGCTTTACCATCTGCCTCCTCGCTTACCCATCACCTGCCAGCCTCGCCAGCCTCGAGAAAGCAGAGCTGTCAATCTGGCCAGAGCCTGAGGCACCCTGACAGTCCACATCTCACGAGGGGTACAGCAAGCGACTTAAAGGTCACCCATCAGTCAGTGGGACAGCTCTCTTCTGCTTCCATTTCCTGCCCCAACCCTGGCAGGGCCTAACTCTTCCTGTCAGACTGACTTCCTGATACTCCAGGAGGCTAGGCACACAACTAGATGACTCCCGACTTCTCTTTTAGGCCCAGGCTTTTTCTCTATTCCCAGAGGCACATGACAGCTGAATCACACAAACTTGCCAAAAGACTAATCTATAGGGTACTTTTTCTTTCAATTACTTAAATTTGACTAGTTTCCATGTTCTATTTACAAAACCACTATAATTTTGTTGCTTATCTCTGCTTATCTGAACCAGGATATCATAGAACAGAAACGGGGAAATAAAGAACATCTAACAAAAGCATGAAGCTAATGGATAATGTAGCCTGGAGCACAGGAAAAAGCCATGTACAAGAACTAGCCTCATGAATACTTCAATATGTATTAATGCCTCATGCATACAAAATGTATTCATCAGAGTTCTTCATATTTAGGAAAATGCTTTTATTCCGATCCTTAATCTTGCCCCCTGCAACCTTTGTATCTCCATATGCAAATACATAGCAGATACGTGAAATGGTCAAATTAAGTTATAATTTCCAAGTGAAAACTAAAGAAAATAAAACTGAACAAGCAAGCTAGGATATTTAGCGATTTAGACCCTTACAAATCAGCTGTTCAATTGACTGACACACAGTAGTGGCTTCCCAGGAGGGCTAGGAAGTCACCAAAAAGAAGCTACAAAGGAAATGTTTTGTATGTTGACTGGATTGTTTAAGTTTCAAACTCTAAAGAATTTAACTCAAGATTACTCATTTTACTTTCTGTGAATATCCCCTCAACCACCATGAAAAATGTTTAGAAATGAATTAGGATCTTATTATAGTTATCCATCCCTTTTTAACAAACCATTCCAAATTTAGTAATTTACAAAAACTACTGTTATTTAATTTCACCCAGTTCTATATACTGACTGGGCTTAACTGCTTTGTTTTCCACAACACTTGGTGGAGTCGCTTATGTAGCAGAGATCAGAGAAGTTCAAGTAGGGCACTGTCAGCTGATCCCTCCCATGAACTTTCAAAGAATTTCCTCTTTATGTGGTTTCTCCACGTGAGTTCTCCAATAAAATACCAGAACTGATTAGAGCTCCAAAACAGAACAAGAAGTCCCCTGTCAAACAGGTAGGCTTGGACACGACACAGCATCACTTCTGTTTCACTCCGCTAGTTAGTGTGAGGCAGAGTCAGCCGAGATTCAATGAGAAAAGAGAATCACAAGAGGAAGTTCACCCAGCACTCTCTTGCTACCACACACAGAACCTCACATACGGAAAACAAAACAAACAAAAACCCCATGGTTTATCAATTCAACAATTTGAAAATCACAACTAAGGCTTTTAACACACAAATAAAACAAAAAGTATTGAAATAAAGATGAAGATTTTCTAGAATATCAGAAATAGCCAGACATATTTTTGCTTATTAATTTTTTAAAGAGGAAGTTTATATGTCAAAAAAGCTATGCAAACAAAGGGAAAAGGAAGAAAGCAAAAGAAGATTTATTTTTATTTATATATACAGAGAGGAGGAGAGACAGAGAGGAAGGTCTTGCATCTGTTGATTCACTCCCTAAGCAGCAGCAATGACCACAGTTGTGCCGATCCGAAGCCAGGAGCCTGGATCCTCTTTCAGATCTCCCATGTGGCTGCAGGGTCCCAAAGCATTGGGCTGTTCTCCCAGGCCATAAGCTGGGAGCTGGATGAGAAGCAGGACCGCAAGGACAAAACCGGCGCCCATATGGGATCCTAGTACATGCAAGGACTTTAGCTGCTAAGCTACAACACCAGGCCCACAAGACCTTTTCAAGAAAGTAGATTCAACTTTACATTTTACCTAGTAAACCATTTCTAGATCCAATGTCATAATGAAGAACTCATATAAACTAATCCTAAATTATTTACAGTATATTCAGAGAACAGATTGAGGATCAGTGGAGAATGGCTACTAGTTACAGTTTCAAGATTTACCTCAAAATACAACACTTACAATGTTGCTTAATCTCAGTTTCCTAGTCTAAGAAAAATGAACAGCAATATCTATCTCTATCTCAGGGAGTGAAGAAACATAATGAGAAGAGAAAAAATTGTCTACTCTAAACTCCAGTGGAGAATGGGCAGTCAACATTAGTCCTTCCTACACCACCATGCTACAAGCTCTAAGAAAGGCTATATGTAACACATTTTATGGACAACCACCGCAGTTAAGGACTGACAGAAAATACCTGAACGAATGAAGACTTTAAGGGAGACTATGTCAGCGAATGGACATTGGAAGGGTTTCCTCATCCTTGGGTCGACAAGATTGACAGCATTTCAGAACTACTGAAATCACTTGGACAGAATCCTCGGAGCACGCGCCACCTCAGGAACCCTGGATTGGCATCAGGTGGCCGTTACCCATCTCCAGGTACCAGGATGGTTGGTAGGTTACATGTGGCCTCTGTCCTTATCTCTCCCACTCCTCCAGATACAGGAAGAGGAAATGGAAAATCTGGAAACAATGATTATGCCCACTTTCCCCTAACCCTCAATCTTTCCCACTCTGATCAACTATGTAAGCATCAACAAAAATAAAAATTTTAAATTAAAAAAAATTAGAATGATTTTCACCATTGGAAATCAAAGTAAAATACTACCCTATAATATAAAGTTATTGGGCTGGAGCAACAACTCAATAGGCTAATCCTCCACCTTCAAGCACCAGGATCCCATATGGGTACCAGTTCCTGTACCAGCTACTCCACTTCCAATCCAACTCCATTTATGGCCTGGGAAAGCAGCAGAAGATGGCCCAAGTAACTGGGACTCTGCATACATAGGAGACCCTGAAGAAGCTCCTAGGTCCTCACTCCAGATGGGCTCAGGTCCAGCCATGACAGCCATTTGAAGAGGAACCAGGTAGACAGAAGATCTTTCTCTCTCTGTAAATTAGTTATCCAATAAAAATAATTAAATCTTAAATAAATAAAAGTTACCTAGAACACTCATGTTTAAGAACAGTCTGTTCTTTGGAGTTGTGAGATTACCGTAATTTCACTTTGCATAGTTAAATATCTACATATAGAAAGCCACATATAAAAAACGTGTTTAGATTAAAAATAACAAGTCCCAGGATACAACTGAAATGTGTTATTGAATACTTGATACAGTAATTTTCAGACCACACTATTGAAATCTTAATTGCATAACCCATTTGTAAAGATTCAAATATTCAAAGGGAATACAAGTCTTGGAAGATTTCCTAATAGAATATACAAAAATACTAAGGAATTTCCAAAAAAATTGTAACTCAAAAACAAGTACATTACAGTTATAGGATAAAGATCAGTTTTATAATTTGTTTTTTTATACATCAACAATAGTCCAAAATGAAATTAACACTACATTGTACAATAATCTGAAAAAGAATAGATACATTTATAAAGGAGTTAAGTTCTGCACACTCAAAACTACAAATTATCATTGAACAAATTTTTAAAAGATGTAAGCAAATGCAAAGACATTCACATCAATGGACTGGAAGACTTCTTGAAAAACAATCTAACTTGGGCCCAGCGCGGTGGCGCAAGTGGTTAAAGGTCCTCGCCTTGCACGCCCGGGATCCCATATGGGCACCGGTTCTAATCCCGGCAGCCCCGCTTCCCTTCCAGCTCCCTGCCTGTGGCCTGGGAAAGCAGTCAAGGACGGCCCAAAACTTTGGGACCCTGCACCTGCGTGGGAGACCCAGAAGAGGCTCCTGGCTTCGGATCGGCATAGTATCGGCCCGTTGCACTCACTTGTGGAGTGAATCATCGGACGGAAGATCTTCCTCTCTGTCTCTCCTCTCTGTATATCCGCCTTTCCAATGAAAAAATAATAAAAATAAATCTTTTTTAAAAAAAAAAAAACAATCTAACTTGACCCACTGTTTCAATGAGCACCACTAACAAAATCCAGCTGGCTGCCTTTCTTGAAAAATAATAAAATTGGAAGATTCACTTTCCAATTTCAAATTTTACTACAAAGCTATAGTAAAATCAGGACAATATGGAACTGATATAAGGATAGACATACAGGCAAATGGAATCGAATTCAGAGTCCAAGAATAAACAAATACATCCACAGACACCTGACCTTAGATAAAATGACAAATCATATAGTGAAGAAATAATACTCTTTTCAAGAAATGATGCTGGGATAATTAAATAGTTCACACAAACGAATAGCTAGACCCCCATCTCACACCATATGCATAAACTAAGTTAAAATGAATCAAACATATAAACATAACAGCTAAAAATACAAAAGGAAACATAGGTAAAAACTTTCATGATCTCTATTTAGGCAACAGTTTATTTGCTATGACAAGGTAACCAAATAAAAAATAGTTAAATTACACTTCACCAGAATTAGTGCTTGAAAGGACACTATCAAGAAAGTGAAATGGAAACCCATAAGTGAGAGAAAATATTTGAAAATCATTTATTGCTAAGGGATTTATACCTAACATACATGAGGAGAATTCTCACAACATTAAATTAAAAATTAGGAGGTGAATATAAATTTCTCCAAAGAAAACATGTAACTGGCCAGTAAGGACATAAAAAGATGTCCAACGTAACAGTCACCAGGAAAATGTAAATCAAACCCACAGCATGATACCACTTCACACCTACTACATTAGCTCTAACAAAAACGATGAATAAGTAAATGTTGATGAGGATGTAGATAAATTTAAACCTTCTAACATTGCTGGTGGAAATGAGCTTGTACAGCCACTTCAGAGAACAATTTATAATTCCTCAAAAACTTACGCTGAAGAGTTAACATGCAGTTCGGTATTTCCCACTCCTGGTAGATGCTCAAGAAAAATAAAAGCAATTCACACAAAAAATTGTCCATAAATATTCAGAGCAACTTTACTTACCAACAGCTAAAAAGTAGAAGCAACTCAAATGTTTATTAACTGATAAATGGTAAGCAAAATAGGGACCTGCCATACAAACATTCACTTTTTAAACACTTACTCAATATGTTTAAAAAACCCTTAGGCACATGCTACAGGAGTGGGCCTTGAAAACAGACCGATTTCTAGGGGCTGGAAGGACAAAGGGAACAGGAAGCTGCTGCTAATGGACACAGGGCTGCTTCTGCAGGTAAGAAAGGCACTCTAGAACTAGTGATGACAGCTGCACAACAGTGCAGAAATTAAAAACCACTGAGCTGTGCGTTTTTTCAAACTGACAGAAATGTTGAAATAGTAATTTAGAAGGGTTCATTTATAGTATGTGAAATTTCATTTTTAAAAAAAAATGTTCAGAACTTTCAAAAGGCAATGTCATGTTATAGCCAAGTTATAGATTGCTGCACAACCAGCAAGCCCCAACTTCCAGTGGACCAGTAGCCAAGTTCAACCATGTTTACCTTAATCTGCATTTTCAAAAGCTTCTACTGAATTTTATTATTATTTCTATTTTTTTGTTGTTGTTAAAAAAAGAAAAAAAAAACCACTTCTTGTTGAAACCAGTTCTCCCCAAGTACTTTTCCATCTTGAGGGTTTCTACATCTCCAATTTGTTTCCAGCCTGAAAGGGGGTCTCAAAAAAGTCACCCCATAATCCTTACTGGCTTTATTGGCAAACCAAAAGGAACCAAGTTGAAAATTACAGACTGAAAACAGTTTGGTTTAGCAGTTAAGAAATCTGTTAGGATGCCACGTCCCAGCGCAAACCCAAGTACCTACACACAACCCCTGTCTCCAACTCATGGTTCCAGCTTCCTGTTAATGCAGAGCCCGGGAGGCAGCAGTAACAGCTCCAGCAGCTGGACTCCCCTACCGATGACCTGCACCAGCCTCCTGGCTCCTGCTTGGCTCGGCTCCAGCCGAGGCAGGCAATGGGAGAGTGAGACAGGAGATCACAGTTCACATTCATACTCTGTGTGTTCTTCTCTCAAAGAAATAACTAAACGGGCCTGAGGGCACATTTAGGGCACCTGTGCATAAACTTTATACCATCTGCTTTCTATATTCCAAAGTCTATTTTGCTAATATCCTGGTTCAGATACGAAGCCAACTGAAACGAATTGAACAGCTGAGGCAGTTATCATCACCTGAATAAATTCTATCTCCTTTGGCTGGAATGTTAAGTACATGAGCCATGAAGAAAGACATCAATATTCTCTCTCAAATTTAAAAATAAGAGCTGTTGCTGTGGCAGAGCAGGTTAAGACAACATGTGATGGGGCCCGGCGCAACAGCATAGTGGTCAAACCCTCGCCTTGCACGTGCCAGGATCCCATATGGTCGTTGGTTCTAATCCCAGTGGCCCCGCTTCCTATCCAGCTCCCTGCTTGTGGCCTGGAACAGCAGTCAAGTACAGCCCAAAGCCTTGGGACCTGCACCTGTGTGGGAGACCCAGAAGAGCTTCTGGCTCCTGGCTTCGGATTGGCTTGACTCCAGCCATTGCAGACACTTGGGGAGTGAACCATCAGATAGAAGGTCTTCCCCTCTGTCTCTCCTCCTCTCTGTATATTTGCCTTTCTAATAAAAATAAATAAATCTGGGCCCGGCGGCATGGCCTAGCGGCTAAAGTCCTCGCCTTGAACACCCCGGGATCCCATATGGGTGCCAGTTCTTATCCCAGCAGCTCCACTTCCCATCTGCTCCCTGCTTGTGGCCTGGGAAAGCAGTCAAGGATGGCCCAATGCTTTGGGATTCTGCACCCACGTGGGATACCCAGAAGAGGTTCCTGGTTCCCAGCTTCAGATCGGCATAGCATCAGCCGTTGTGCTCACTTGGGGAGTGAATTATCGGATGGAAGATATTTCTCTCTGGCTCTCCTCCTCTCTGTATATCTGACTTTGTAATAAAAATAAATAAATCTTTTTTTAAAATGTTAAAAAAAAGAGACCACATGTGATGCCCATCACCTATAGGTACCAGTTCAAGTTCCGGCTGCTTCACTTCCCATCCAGCTTCCTGCTAATGCATATGGAAGAACCGTGGAAGGTGGCCAAGTGCTTGAACCTCTGCACTCAAATGGAAAATCCAGATGAAGCTCCTGGCTCCTTGGCCCAAGGACAGTCATCAAGTCCATTTGGAGAGGAAACCAGCAGACAAAATTTCTGTGTCTCTCTCTCTTTCTCTCTCTGTGTAGCCCTGACTCTCAGATAAAATAAATAAATCTTTAAAAAAGTCAAAAGCAAAAAAGAATACTTCAAAGTATGCTTAACTTTCCAAGTAATCTTTATGATGACATTTAGCTCTTTGGTCAGAAAATAATCTTACCTATATTCCTTACAGAAATATTTCAAAGCATCTCATTTGTTATCAGGTACTTAGAAAAGATGGCACTTATCTTTAAATATTTCTTCAGATTCATGAAATTACTTACTATATTTCATGTTGTTCCAAGCAGATATAAATTTGGTTTTCAGTTTGTCAACTTCATCTGTTCCTGTGGCCTCCATATTCACATTCTAAAGAAAAAGCCATCACTTGATTGCATTCTTCTGCAGAGTTTAATCTTTTGTACTGACTTTAAAAAAGAAAAATATAAAAACAGATACATTAACTGTGTGATACTGCTACAGTTACCTAAGGGAATAAATATAAATTTGAACTGGACATGAGCAAATAAATTTCTTAGAAACAGAAAACAGAATCCTAACTTTATAGACAATAATCTTATAAGGAAAGATACAGTTTTAATTACAAGAAACTCTCACTACCAAATATCTAACAATAAAATTATCCCACAATATCAAATAACCCATCAACAGCTAAGACCATCTAAGTAAGAACTTGCAAGACTTGTCTTATTTTTAATTAGAGAAAGTTATCTGAAATCTTATTTTTAAAAAAGAAAGAAAAAACTTGACTTTCTATAGAACGGAAAGTCACAATTGTATCAAGTTACTATTTCCATATGACTGCTAGGGTCTCCCTGACTACCCTCCCCTAACCTCAAAACTAGCTCTCAGAAAAACGTATGTCTTCATCTATCACATATTATCACTCTAAATTGTAACTACTTCTTTTATAAACTTGATATTAAATTTTATTACTGTCATTAAATTCTACCTGGCATGAGTCACTGACTGGGCAAAAATACTCAAGCGAGGTATATTACTAGCAACACTCTCATTATGATTAGATTTTCTTAAACTGACAATGGAAATGAAAAAATTTTTTTCAAGAAAGCTACATACATAATTTCAAGAAATCTGAGAAAGAAGGAAAAGAGCTTATAAAATATATGCATTATTTTGTGCTAATGTTGTGGTAGAGTGGACTGAGCCACCTAATGCCAGCATCCCCTGAGGGCACTGGTTCAAGTGGTGGCTGCTCTACTTCTAATCTAGCTCCCTGCCAAAGCACCTGAGAAAACAGCAGAAAATGGCCCAAGTACGTGGGTCCGTGTCACTCACATGAAAGACCTGGATGAACTTACAGGCTCCTGGTTTCCACTTGATCCACCCACAGCCCTTGTGGCCATTTGGGGAATGAAACAGTGGACATCATAAGAGCTCTTTCTTTGACTCTCCCTCCATCTTTCTGCATTTCACATAAAAACACATCTTTTGAAAAAAACATTAACAAATAATCTCTCAGAGCTCCCAGGTGGCAGGGCCTGTGTCATGTAGGTCAGCCTGTCCCTGTGTGCGACTTGGGTCTGGATGGAGGCCTGGGTCCATCAGCCTGCCATGTGCCTGGACCCAGGTGGATCGGCTTGTCCCAGGGCAGGGGCTCTGATCTGAAGACCTGAGCCTATCTGCCTGCCGGGTGCTCAGAGCCTGAGAGAGCCGGCTAGCCCCGGCTCTGAGCTCCCAGGCAGCAGAGCTTGGGCCAAGTGGCCCAAGGGATTCACCCAGCAACACTGGAGCCCACGCCATCTGGCAGTGGGAACTTGAGGGGGAAACACAAGGACCATTAAGGTTCAGACCAAAGCACTAGCCCTTGTGGGATAGCAGAGCTGTGGTATTTAGTATTGACCAATGCCAAATACCACTCACCGGTACACACGAAAGCTAGGGCTGGGAGCCTACCTGGCAGGGCTAGATAACATTACTCACCAACAAGAGTTGAAACAGGATGGATAACGTCAGGCTGGGCCATAGCACTAACCAGCATACAAGTGAACTAGGTCTGGGGACAGATTCTGTGGGGGTATGTGGGGCCACCCCTATGATCTGCAACGTTAGCTGGTTTGCTTGGAGCTGGGGGTTGTGACAGACTGGGCTAGGAATGACCATGCAACTCTCAGACACTCTTGGGTACTGGGCTTGGGCACAGTCTAGGTTTTCCAGAATGCAGCACCTATAAAGACACCCAAGAATATGGTGTGGGGCAGGCCAGGCCACAGCATCCACCCCTCATAATATGCAGGACAGAGGGAGTAGTCTACGACCAGTAAGGGTCTAGGACCCACTGGCATGAGCGAAAGCAAGGTCTAGGAATGGGTCTGGTGGGGGAACTAAGGAAACTCCCTTGATGGACCATTGCTCCCACCAGAGAGCATGTGATTGAGGCCTGGGTATTGGTCAGACCAGGCAGGGTACCCAACCTGTCCACATATGTGTAGGGTGGTTTTGGAATGGGTTAACCAGGGAGGGCCAGGTCAACCCTAGCTGACTGGCAAGTGCAGTAGCCAGGCTGAAACATGGGACATGTTAGGTTAGGCTACGCTATCACAATTGCTGGTTTGCATGAGTCAGGGATGGAAGTGGACTGAGCAGGGCCAGGCTGTAGAACTTGGCACCAAGAGTTGGGACTGTGGGTGGGACGGGTCATGACAGGCTGCAGCATCTGGTGGCAAAGGCCAAGACAGGAGATGGGCTATGCAGAGCTGGGTCACAGCATCCACTCACATACATAAGATCTGGAGCTGCAAACAGACCTGGTTGGGGAGCTAAGAGGATGCACCAGCTAGGTTGTGCTTCCCACTGATGAACACAAGAGGGCAGCATAGGGGTGGTGGTCTGGACTGAACATGGCTGCAGTCTCCCTTGGCATGGGTATGGACAGGCTCTGGGACTTGCTCCTAGTCCTAGCATTTCCCAGCAACCCGCCTGCCCTTATTCTGGCTCATGCCTGTACCAGTAGATACAGTCAGATACCCCAGCCTGGCTCTCTCCCTAAACTAGTCCGCGTGTAGGTCAACAGATGTTGTAGTCCTGTCCGGCCAGGTCTGCCCCGAGTTCCAGCTCTCAGGCTCACCAGCAGGAGCAGTGGCCCAACAGTGTGGGTGTAGAATGAGCTGGGCTGGGTTTCCACTCTCACTGGGCCAGATAAGAACTGCATCAGGGTGTGGACAAGGACTAGCTGGGCTGTAACATGCAACAGTAAGAACCAGGTTGGGTATGGGCCAGTTGCGCAAGGCCACTGTTCTTGCCAGGACAGGAGATAAGTTAACCTAGGCCAAGAACCCACTGGTGTGCACAGGATCTGCCACTGAGAGGAGCTTGGGGAACTCCTTTGTTGGGGCACAGACCATGCAGGTGAACACAAAAATCAAATTGAGCAGCTCAATTTGTAGCAGACCAGGCTACAGTACCTGCCAGCATACATGTGGCTCAGGTATGGGGGTGGACCAGGCTGGGACAGTTCATTACACCTACTGGCATATCTGAGAACTGGGCTGGGATGCAGGACAGGCTGGGTTTGGCTGCATCACCAGCCAGTTCACATTTGGGTCAGGACTGGGGGCTGGGTTGGGCAGTAGCTCCAGCCAGCATGAGCTAGAATAGGGCAAAACAGGCCAGGCTAGGCTGCAGCACTCACCAGCAAATGCAAAGGTGAGATGGGCCAGGCTAGACAGAACCACTGCACTCACCAGCACACACGAGACTGGAACAGGGGAGTGAGTCTGGTAGGGGAGTAGGGGAGTCTGGGGAGCCCCCGATGGTCCACTGCTCAGCTTGGCTGAGCTAGGCTGGGCTAGGCTGGGCTAGGCTGTAGCATTCACCAGCATAAGCTGGAACTGGGGGCAACTAGGATGAGCCAGGCTGTAGCACATGCTGGTAGATGCCGAGGTGACATGAGCCATGACAGTTTGGGCTGCAGCACCCACCAGCACATGTAAAATCCTAAAGGGGAGCAAGCCCCAGTGGGGGAGCTGTGAGGGATCTCCTGTTGGGCCTCTGCTCCTGCTGGTGAGCCTGAGAGCTGGAACTCGGGGCAGAAGAGGTTGGGCAGGACTACAACATCTGTTGGCCTACATGCGGACTAAGTTAGGGAGAGAGCCAGGCTGGGGTATCTGACTGTATCTACTGGTACAGGCATGAGCCAGAATAAGGGCAGGCGGGTTGCTGGGAAGTGCTGGGACTGGAAGAAACTCCTGTCGAGCTAGACTGCAGAATATCCTGGACAATGCAATATCCAGGGCAGGGAGTGGGTCCACAGTAGGGTGTGGGCTCCTCTCTGATGGGCTGCAATGCCCACTGGTGAGCATGAGAACCAGGACTGGGGGCGGGCCTGGCTGCTGTGGCACGAGTGTAGCCTGGAGAGTGGAATCAGTTGGGTTGAGTTAGGCTTCAATGCTCAATAATGTGTAAGAGATCTCAATGGCATGTGGGGCAGACTGGACCAGTCCACTGCACATGCTGGCAGGCACAGGAACCAGAGCAGGAAGGCCAGTCCAGATGTCTCTCTAACTGGGCTGCAACTTCCACTATGGCACGTGGAGGTGAAGCATGTGTTGGGCTGGAACGGGCAGGGCTGGGCTGGGCTGGGCTGTAGCACATACTGGATTGCTGAGTACGGAGGGCAAAACAAACTGATCAACTACCCCAGTGAAGCTTGACAACAAATACCTGAGCTAATGAAGACTCCAAGGTGGACAATGACAACCAATCGACCTTGGAAGTATTTCCTCATCCGTGGAGCAGCAAGAGCAGCAGCATCTCAGAACTATTGAAACCACATAGGCAGAACCCTCAGAAAATGCTCCACAATGGGGAACTTGGGATGACATTGGGTGGCAGTTCCCATCCCTGGGGTAACATGGCAGCTGGGAGGTTGGGCATAGTTTCTAGAAAAGCAGCCGAGGATAACCCAAAGCCTTGGGACCCTGCACCCACGTGGGAGACCCAGAAGAAGCTCCTGATTTCAGATTGGCTCAGCTCCGGACACTGCAGCAGTTGGGAGTGAACCAGTATAGGGAAGATCTTTGACTCTCCTTCACTCTCTAAATCTGACTTTCCAACAAAAATGTCTTTAAACAAAATAAATTTTAAAAAATACTTCTGCTGTCATTGTTCTATACAGTGGATAACAAAAATAAAACTATCAATATATAAACCAAAAATAAGCTGCTGGGAGTTTAATAATTCAGTATAGCTACTTTTCATGTAATGAAAAGTGAGTTCTATTCTTCCATAAACAATTAAATCTATTTATATAACAAAAATTCAAATGATTGTTCCTAAAAATCTTAACTTCAGCTTAATTAGACATTTTCAAGCCATGTTGGAAAGTGTTGTACAATGAGACACTGCTTCAAGGAATAACCAAAAATTCATAATAAAGAAGGGATGG